AAAAAAAAAAAAAAAATTAAAAAAAAAAAGCAACAGCACATGATACAACCAGTGTGACAACACCTTCTGAAACAACTGAGCATATACTTCTAAAATGCAAAAACACAGAAATTGCTTAAGTATGCTCCTTACGATCATCTTCATCGTCATCATCAGAATCACCACTCTCACGAAATCTTGGATTTTTCTCCTGTAAACCAGAATTATACATTTTCACTTCTTCAAATAATAAAATATATGTAAATAAATAATAAATAAATGATAGAAAAAAACACTTTAGAGTGCTGCTAATACCACCCCCTTGATGTCTATGGGTTGACAAATTAGTTTTAGACACCTTGTAAAGAGAAATCACAACTAATGATGACTGGACCTATGGTATCTATCCATGAGAGGATTGAAAACGAACAGAAATAGATCGGGCTTTCAGTAAATGGATATAAAGAAAAGTACAAAGAGGCTTACCGGTCTCGGTTCATCTGGATTTCTTCGGTACACAAAGTCAGACTTTCTCCGTGTGAAATCAGGCGCACGACGATCATCTTCTCTGTGTCGTTTACGATGGAAATCTGTAATCCCGAAGCACAACATCAATTGCGGAATTCAAAAAGCAGAATAAAACGATAAAAACCAATTTAGCATTAATAATACCTCCTCTGCCGTGTCTGTATGAAGCACCTTGGCCATAACTTCCACCGTGTCTACCATCTAAAAGAGCTTGCAGATCAGCTTTCAATGGTGAAATAAATATTATAGACTTAAATAAACTACTCTTAAGTCTTTATCACTGAATATTATAAATCGCCATGTAATTATGTAACGAGTAACAAAAGTATATGTCTCCTACTTTGGTCTGGCTTGCTTTTAAGCCATATAGCGGTAATTAGCTTAATGTAAATAAAGATGCTTCCAAATTATTTATTCGAGATTCGAAAAATGAGGATAAAATGTCTTTGAGGTTATTTCACTTGTATGAAATATTAGAATTGTACAAGCAGTTAAAATCTAGTAGTGAGATTAAGTACTGAAGTTGTGCAATAACTCACATGTAGGAGGTAAAACGGGTGCAAATGAACCCAATGATCCGGCCCCATAGTCCACCAGCTGCCTCTGTGCTTCCAACTCCTTCTGGACTAACTTCCCATAGCCACCTCTACGTATGACTAGTTAAGGAATTCAACATTCAGGTGACTCGATTTCCCATACAGAAATTATAAACCTTTTTCTGCGTGAAATCTGATAAACATATTTGCATGTAGTAGACAACGAAAGATAGGAAAGATGGCATGATAGAGCAAATTCAAAATGATTGTGATAAGGCAATTACGAAATGAAATCATAAAGATTTAAATAGACATTAAAAAACCTTCTAGAAAATGCTACTCAGGAAGTTAATTCAGCTCCTGGACACACAAATATGCTTGCGCCTGCATATGATACTTCGCTCTAGAGTATCACTCATGAAAAAAATTCTCACACAGGGGAAAAAATTTTAGGCAATAAGGTCCCACAAGTAGACGTTCAGCTGGGCAGTCATACTATCAGACATACCAAGTTCAATAATAATGATTTAAATAATACACATAGGGAGGATATCTGGATCATAGTCTGTACGATATTCATCCCGTACCTGAGACACAAATGGTTTATGAGAACGTTGTTTCCATTAATTCATTGCAAAAACATAACCAAAAAAAAAAAAAACACTATCACCTGTCCACCACTTCGACCACGTCCCCATTGCCTGCCTTCTTGAAAACCCCAATCAAAGTCGACACGAATAGGACGGTCATCAAGAATAGTCCCACTAATATACTTAACGGCATCTTCAGTATCTTCCCGTGAATAGTACCTGATACATCAAAACCCCAATCATAGTATTGTTCCTCTACTTGGTCTCTCATAAATGCTTGGACAAATCATTCCAAAAAATAAGATCGTTTCTTTTTCTGAAACGGAAAATTAGGAATAGAAAAATACCATGAGTTGAAAATAAGATTGTAAAGCTGTTTTCGTCATCTACCTGGGCCAGCTATCTCACTTAAAACGAATCAAATACCACAAACTATCTTAATGTCTTTCAATTTAACAGAACCAAGCAGGGCAAGAAACAAATAACACCTATTTGCCTCCCCTATCTATGAGCAATCACAAATTCTCATAACACGCAACTCAATTCATAGATCAGATAGCCCAGCATCAAGTCCGTAGGACGAGCACTTCACTTACATTATAAAGCAGAAGCCACAAGGTGTTTTGCTGTTCTTATCCAAACCCATGACAATCTTTTTAATCTCTCCAGCTCGAGAGAACAGCTCGTAAACTTGCTCCTCGGTAGTGTAAAACGACATGTTCCCCACATAAAGAGTGGTCGAGTTTAACAGAGCCGCGTCGAACTCTTCCTGATTCCCAGGAAACCTTCTATCCCTATATGCAGACAGCTTGTTCGGATCCTTCAATAACAAACATTTTCATTAAAACAAAATAAAAATCATCGAAGAACAATTATATAATGCTGAACTATAACCAAGCAAAATGAATCATAAAATCAACCATTTAGTGCAATCAGCGTAATTTTGTTTCAAAACCCTAATTCAACTACAATGTTGGAGATTGATACAAGAATGCAAACTGGCAGCTGACACAGGAAACTCAAATTACTCATACAACTACATCAAAGGCATGATCAAAATTACCTTAAAGAGAGAGGCCATGATAAATTACAGCTACAAAAATCGGCAAAAATTGATTCAAGCAAGAAGAACGAGACAGTGCCAACAAAGCCCTAATAGAGCCGAATAACGCAAGGACAGAAAAATTCCCAAATGTTTTATTATGAAATGGGTTGGGCCATGCGTTAGGCATATTGGTTTGGGTACTGTAGAAATAAATGGGTTGGGCCTCCGAAATGTCCTTTCAATTAATAGAAATAGAACATTATTATTTATAGAAAAATATCCTACTTATAAAAAACATAAGATAAAATAATTAATTATTAAATTCTAAAAATGTTATTGTAAGAATTTACATATTTTTTAAATAATAAAATTTTGAATGATGTGATATTAAAACCAACTTTATCACCAAGGAACATTATTGTAAATCGATCTAATGATTAGTGAGATAATTCTTCGTAATTTTTTAGTTGAATATATATATATTGTGAAACGTCATTATTAATATTATTATTTTTAAATATATAACATCATATTAAGCATATTTTATTAGGAAAATATTTTTCTTGCTAGCATCATTTCTACTGAGTACTAGCTAAGGAATGCAACTTATAAACCCGTCATATTCTAGCTCAATGATTCTATTAGACCTTTGACCTCCTTCGTTGTACAAAAAAAAAAAAAAAAATAATAATAATAATAATAATAATAAGAGTTAATGAGATTTGTCAACAATTACTAGAAACACATCTCCAATGTAAAAGGAAAAAGTTTGTTTTATCACACACTCCAACACCTTGCTTGCTTGTTGATTAAAACAAATTTAATCACTAAAACAAAGTCGTGATGAAAATTCTCTTTGTAGCCCTTTACTTTTTGATTTTCAACAAGTCATTAATATTCATATCTCAAAAGACAGTTCATCTCAATCCCAAAACATAAATGCTTATTTGGTTAGATAGATCAATTTTTCATACTTTTTTTTTTTTTTTTGATAAAATTTTGATACAACTCTATCATAATTTTAAAACATGTCAAATAATTGTTCTATATTATTCATAGGTAAGATACTTTTAATATAAATATACATTTTCACTAAAAATGTGTTTGTCTCATAAAATAAGCGAAATTTGATCAACTTTTATAAAATAACAATGTAGCTAACGAACCATATTTTTTCAACAAATATACATACATACATACATACATACATACATGTTGTTAGTCATACTCTCGAAAAACTTCAATTTGAGAATAATTGATTTATAACCAATGTACTACAATTTTTTTATATTAAGTTACTATTTCCCTAATAAATATCAAAGAAAATTAGAGAATAATTAATTTCATGGGCTCTCACATTCTTTTTGTTTTTTTTTTTTTTTTTTTTTGATACAAAAAGAGGAGGCTAATGCCTAGAGCCATCAGACAGTTATGTGTTTGCGGGTACGCAATGCTAATAAAGTCATGTTATAGTCACGGTTTAACTTCTAATGGATCAGATAATCGTTGGCAACCACTAGGACCATGATGGGCAAGAGTCGTCAAGCAGTCAGCCGCAAAGTTAGCTTCTCGATTGCAATGAGTCACTTTTATCAAGAGCTCCATATAATGTCTGGTCCCCAATCACCACAAGCATGATGATCAAAGGACTCATCATAAACTGTCTGAAAAAATATTTTTTTTTTAGTTATGTGCCAAAATAACTCAAACAACCATACATAGTCATACATTCTTTCTTCTACATTATTTCTTTTGTTTTTTCTTTTCTTTTCCCATCATGAAATAAGCTTTGACTGAGTGCCTGTTTGTTTTCTCCACCACTAGCTCTAAGAGTAAAGCACACTTCTCAAAAGAAAGAACAAAAAAATAATAAATTACACTTCAAGTTTTGTTCATTTGAAGGACTCTTCATGACACATTCATATCCTTTCAAGCCAAGTCAAATCTAAAGAAAATTTGAACCAATGCTTATGTATTAATAGCCCTGTTTTGCATTTCACTTGATTCCTGCAAAAAAATCGACTAATATACCTACCGAAAATACATCCTTAAAGATATGGACAAGCTGACATTTATCGTCCTTTTCGTATCCTTGCTTTTAGCCCCCCTCGAAAGTTTGGACAGAGATTTACCGGACGGGCTCGATTTTTTAGCTGAGCAAGTTCATGATTTGGACGTTCAGGATCGTTTATGGGATGACGGTTTTGAATCCGAGCCCTTAGATTGTTCAAGTCATGGTGGTAAGATTCTAGTGAATGTTGATTCATTTGGTGCTGCTGGGGATGGTTTGTCTGATGACACTCAGGTGAAAATTGTTGTCTTAAAAGATAAAACAACTTTTTTTTTTTTTTTCTATATTGATTTTGGGACCATGAAAAGAAGCAAGAATCTTGATTAGGTTATGGTGTGTTTTACTTACAGGCCTTTGTAAATGCATGGGGAGTGGCTTGCTCTGCATCAAACTCTGTTCTGTTGGTACCCGAAAATCGTATTTATTTAGTGAGAGCGACAAGGTTTAAAGGGCCTTGTGCCGGCAAGTTAACGATCCAGGCAACTTTTTTTTTTTTTCTCAGTTATTATGCTAGTTTATTCGGTTTCTAAATAAGTTTCCATTAGAACAAATGTATCATCAATCGATGAACCTAATGTGTCGGTGTTCAGATAGATGGGACGATTGTGGCTCCGGATGACAACAAAACTTGGGATCCCAAAAACCCGAGAACTTGGCTCGGTTTTTACAATCTCAGCAAAGCCAGCTTTGAAGGACTGGGTGTTATTGATGGCTCAGGCAGCAAATGGTGGGCAGCTTCATGCAAGAGGAACAAAAGCAATGTAAAAAAAAAATCTCGAAACATAATAGTAACGTTGGATGATTACAAAACTGAATGACATTTACTAACTTCCGTTTATTTTCTCTCCGACTTTCATCAGCCGTGCGTAGGAGCACCAACGGTGAGATTCTGATCAGTCACTCCTAAACAGGATCTTTACCGATATAAATTGTTTGATGATATAATTGCTATTTTACTTTGGTACATACGTTCAGGCCTTAACCATAGACTCGAGTTCGGCTGTAAGAGTGAGAGGCCTCACGATTCGAAACGGACAACAGATGAACTTTATCATATCAAACTCCAATTCTGTTCGTGTATCGGGCGTTCAAGTCTCGGCTCCAGGGGACAGTCCCAACACAGACGGAATTCACATAAGCGCATCAACAAATGTCATTCTCCAAAACTGCAAAATCGGAACAGGTTTTTTCGCTTTTTTTTTTTTTTTTTTTACTTTTTAGACCTCAAAATAGCCAAAATGTGAGCATCCAAGTTAACGAACGATCTTTTTAGGCGACGATTGTGTCTCAATTGTTAGCGGCAGCTCGGGTATCAAGATGAAGAACATATTCTGCGGGCCCGGCCATGGAATCAGGTAATAGAAAAACCAAGCATATTTTCGGATACTTACTCGAAACAATGTATACTCACTTTTTTCGTGAATATTACGCAAACCAGCATAGGTAGCCTCGGAAAGGATAACTCGACCGGTATAGTTGAGAATGTTGTACTCGAAACAGCTTTCATTCGGAATGCGACGAACGGGCTTCGAATCAAAACTTGGCAGGTAAATAACGAACTATATATCAAATGATCTCGTTAGTTTCAGCCAAATTTTGTCAATTGTTCGAAATTCATCATGGCTTTTTTTGTAGGGAGGTAACGGTCACGTGACGAACGTAAAGTATCAAAATGTGGTCATGGAGGAAGTCTCGAATCCCATCATCATCGATCAATTCTATTGCGACTCGCCAAAATCTTGTCAAACTCAGGTAATCCTATCATTTAATCGCCATCGTTAGTACATTTCACAATCTCCACAAGAAACCGAGCATTTCCATCACAACTCTTTGTTATGGATTTAAAAGTGTAGATACCATTATGAGATTTTCTATTTGTCGAGAGTTCGAACTGGAAATCAATAAATAGTATTGATTTGGTTATAACCCAAAACGATCGAAACCTTATAATCAGCATACGGAACATACTATATACAATATAAATTTGCTAGTTTGGAAGTACATATCCATATGAAACTAGACAACAAATAAATAAAAGAGCATAAGATTTTTCAATTCATGAAGTTTGGTACGTTTGCGCTCTTTTGTTTGATTGATTCTGAATACTTGACATAAATGATTTTTGGATTGAATTAATTTCCTTTTGGGTTTATATACCAACACTCTTCTCCTAACTTCTAGACTTCGGCCGTGGAAATAAGCAACATCGTGTACCGTGGCATAACCGGGACATCAGCGACAAAACGGGCCATAACATTTTCGTGCAGCGACACAGTCCCGTGCACTGGCATACTACTCAAAGACGTCAACTTGCAGGGGGCGAATGGCTCGGTCGAGACCTATTGCCACTCAGTTTATGGATACAAACGAGGGCTCGTTCAGCCCCCGGCCGATTGCCTTTTGCCACCGAACGATAAAGATACGGTTCGCTTACGAAGAAACGAAGCTAATGATGGTGACGAGGGAAGTCATATCATCCATACAGAGCTATGAAGAAGCCTGCAAAGTAAAAGCATTATAGTTGGCAGATGTGAGAATGTAAATTATGTTTGTAACAATTACGTTTTGAGAGAGGCATACACAAATATGGTATGATATAACGTATATGTGAATTGTGATACATTTTATATTTACTAATACATGATGAATTTTTGCTTTGTGTCCTATTATTTTATTCAATAACGTGATGAATGATCACAGTTTATCAGTATGAAATGGTTAATGATCATAATTTATGCCATACCTAAAAACTATACAATTCAGAAATCAATTACTAAAACAAACCAGAAATCAAATGTTATAAACTTTACAAGTCATTATATTTGCGGTCTATGAAACTTCATAAAATAAAAAATATAAATAAATTTTAAAGATATATGGTGTAATTTTTATTATTTATTTTTATTTTTAAATCTCTTCGCGCCGATGAAGAACTATCGGATGAGATTAGTCTCGACTCTCGATAAAAATTTTGCAGGTCACTTGAAATCAACGAACCTATTTTTCCCCCAACAAAAAAAGTAGACTCCGATGAAGAACTATCGGATGACAATAGCCTCGACTCTGGATAAAAATTTTGCAGGTCACTTGAAATCAACGAACCTATTTTTCCCCCAACAAAAAATGTAGACTAAATATTACGCAAGTGCATGCTATAGGTATGGTACCAATCCTATGATATCCCATTGTAGCACCCAGTCCAATTGGGTTATGATAACATACAAATTAAGTTTTGTATTTACTTTAGTTACTTTCATCAAATCAATTGCAATTTCTCAAACTGTATTTCACCAACACTTGCTTAAGTTTCAATCACTGTAGTTACAAGTAATTATTGAAATTCAAAATAAACATTAACAAAATTATCAAATGTTACTCTGGCTAGTAATTGTGAACATACATCCATCCATCGATGAGCAAAAAGAGATGGGAGGCTATGCTTAAATAAACTCAACAAAAAATAATTAAACCAAAAACAACAGGGCACCGTATTAGAAAGATTACCATAAGCAAAAACTTCGCACGTTTATACCAAATGAAGTGTATCCTCACCATCTCTAACACAACATTTTCAAAGGAGCGCACAAAGTAAAAATAAACATAATAAAGTCTAGAAGACCAACTCATGGGGCTTCATGCCAGACTTGAGGGAAAACCGTGCACCCAAATAGGTCTTCAGATCAGGAACAGCCTCGACTGCCTTTAGCAAAGGTGCGTCAACAGCTTTCTGGTCTTCTTTCTTCTCTTCTGGGAGTTCATTCTTTTCCTGCATCCAATACCATGATGTAATAAGAATGGAATAAAGCATTATCTCAGATAAACTATAAAGCACAAGGAAAAAGTGACAGCCCCAGTTGAATAACAGACCTGTTTATCAGCTTCAAAGAACTCGCTTTCCCCCTTCTTTTTCTTCTTCTCAACTTGTTTGGCGAAATACGTGTCGTCAACCTTGTCCACATTTACTCCAGAAATGTCAACCTTTGTGGAGGTCCCAATAACATAGGCCTGATTCACGCGCCTCAGAGGTACACCATTGATCTTGTATGGACCTGTCACAAGCAATATTACAGTCCAATAGTAACTAACATTTTTATCTTTAGTGGCAGTTAAAAGATCAGTGAGTAACACCAAACAAATAAGCAATGAAACTAGCTAGCTTTCGTATAGCATGATTAGAAATCAAGAGTATATCTTAGCTAATGATAGATTATTAATCAGCATATGTATTTCTCATGGCTAGTCCCAAGAGGTTATAGCAGTAACCTGCTCCACAAGGCGATAGGATATGAGAACACTCCCAATGGAGAAGTGGAAGTTATCCATGAAAGACAAACTTAACCACATCATCAACAAAAGGAGCTTGATATTTGACGATTGCTAATCACTCGGTCCATACGAGAATTAATTTCTCGCCCCAAAACATTGAATCGTCGAAAAAAAATTAAGACAGCTAATCTAACCAGAAACCAATTAAATGGTCACTACAGAGTGTGTATTCCCGGCAGCAAAAACTTCCTGGTCCGGGAAATTAGAACTTCAAAATGCAATTCACTGAAGACAATATATGCCAACGGTATTGTACCAAAAAAAATATATATATGCCAACGGTACAAGTGAAAAGGCTAGGTCATCAATAAAGACTAAACTTTTAGAAAAGGATTAAGCTCACAATTGATAGGAATTACGCACATTACAAAATGAAGCTACCTGAAAATCAGCTCAGTAAATGCATTAATAAAAAGATATCAGATCAGCATTAGTGTAGATCATTTTCCTTAAACAACTATCGACAAAATGCATGAAAAAACCTTGCAACTATCAAGCATAAGATCCGCAAATCCAAAAAGTATAATGTGATAATTAAGCAACACGAATCGACACAAGGTCGCAGACCCTTACCAGTAACGAGAAGCAATCCAGAAGTGAGCTGCTTCAAGAAGACAACCCTCTTTCCCCTGAACCGCCCAGTCAAGATGATCAACACCGTCCCTGGTGTGATACTGGCCCTGAAAATAAACAAAAAACACACACACACAAAAAAAAAAAACAAAAATAAATTTAATACAATAAAACGTTGTAATAATCAATTCACAAAGAACAACGGATCTAAAAAACAAATCTACACCTCAGCTTGGTGGGCTTAGGCTTGCGCTTGTTGAGAAGCGGCTTCTTGACGTCGTCAGCCGGGTAGAACTTGGGTGGCTTCTCCGCCACAAGAGCAGCGGCGGCAGCCTTCTCGTGGTGCGGGAATTTGCCGCCGTTTTTGGCCTTGATCGCAAACAGGCCGCGCTTGTGATACATCCTGGAGCGTGAGACCTTACGGACTCCGGGGATGAGCTCCGGGTTTCGGGTTGTCCGCTTGGGCGCCATTGCAGCTGCTCGCACTGTGCGTTTGTGTTCGCGTGGGATTTACAGCGGGCAGATTAGAAATGGGAGCAAAACCCTAGCTATTATTTATATGGGGCTAAAACCTCCTTTTTGTTGGGCCCAAAATTGGGCTTTTTGTTAAGAACGTGTAATATGGCAGGCCTGGTTGGTGCAACGGCACAGGCCTCATAACGTGGTACTCAGTACTACTCACCTGACCATGTTCATTTGACCATTATCATTATTATTACAGTATAAATAATGTATAGATTTATTATTAGTTAAATAACTTTAATTAACACTAAAATTGATTAAAACTAATAAGAATGTAACATTATTTAAGTTGAGTGTAGATCTTCAATTTAATAAAAATTAAAATAAAATAACTGGAATATCAGATTGTCTTTCTGGTGTTTTCCAACAAATTAGTACTTTTGGGTATGAATTTAATAATAATAATAATAATAATAATAATATTATTATTATTATTATTATTATTATTATTATTATTATTATTATTATTATTTTGTTGAAATCGGAATAAACAAATATTTTGGCAAACAATGTATGTAAATGTTTAGAAATCAATAGTTTTTTTGTATGAAATCGATATAAACCAGTATTTTTGCGAAAACATTATTTCGAACTGTTACTAGTTATAGGGACACTGTTACTAGTTATAGGGGCCTTAAGATGTCTAACCATTAAAAAAAAAAAAAAAAATCAGTCCAACAAAATGAATTTTCTGTACAAATAGACTAAAGTAAAACCAATTGGGAATATGACGACTTTTGGGAAATCCATCAACATACATACATACAACATTCTGCCGAACGTGGTCAAATCTATATACAGTATATGAATCTTAAGCACCAGTAATATTGGCTAGCCAAGGAAGCAATTTTTCGTGGACCAAGTCTGGCCTGTCGTCGTGTGGGCAATGCCCAACTCCTTCAAGTAAAAAGAGGTTCACGTTCGGCAGTTGGCCCGGTAAAGACGAGAAGTATTTACCAACAGGCCCATTAATCGGGGTAAATGGGTCTCGATCACCCCATAACACCAAAACGGGTAAAGTGATATTTGGGATGAGCTGGACTGGATTCGGCCCGGGTGGACCTGTGACGATTGAAACAAAGGCGTCAAGGGCTCCTTCATCGAGTGCTGGTTTCCTAATTATCTGCAATTTTGAGAGCAAATCACGTGTTAGAGAATGATCGATTTTTCGCGATATTTAGACTATATATTAGTAGCTTCGCTTCATTGTATTTGATTAGCTTTTAAGTGAAATTTGAGCTGATAGCTTATGACTTAAATTCAGTCATTTTTTACATTTCAAATCCTTTTTAGTACCTCAACAAGATCTTCGTCCACAGATTCCTTGTTTCCATAGACTGACAATAAAACATTTCTCAGATTATCTCTGCACAAATTAGAAAAAACACAGCTAAGTTTTTTTTTTTTTTCGTTTGAGTATATCTTCACTCGTAGCTTTAGCAATCACAATGCAAAAAACAAAAACGAGTCAATACCTTTGTCTGACACGTTCGAATAAATAAGAAGCAATTCCTCTTTGCTTCAGTAAGAAGTCGAAAAACCAGAGCAAAGGCAACAATAGCTTTATCCTCCAGTCATCAACTATAGCTTTGTTGTTCATTCCACCCGCACAATTCAACAGCACGAGACCACACACGAGGGATTTACATTCACTAGACTCTGCTTGTGGGGGAAAAAGTTAACAAGGAAAAGATGATAATTACAAAGAGCAATTTAAGTTTTGGTTAATTACAAAACTGTAAAGATTCACTTCTTTTTGAAATTTTGGATGGATACTCGTAACCTTGAAAATTTTAACTATCTATCCTCGTAGAATGAACTTCATGACTCGGTTTCAATGTCATATAACCAAAGCTAAAAGCACCTGCAGCAGCAATAACACAAGCAAGACTGCCAACAGAATTTCCCAATAGCACAGTGGGCCTTCGCACAATTTCATCCAAGAAATCGAGTATCAACTGCGTACATCAAATGCATTATTCATCACATATAAAAAAACAAAAAAACACGAAAGACTTCTCAATTGTAAGCTCCTACCAGGATACAGATCATAAATAGGAGAGTTTCACCTGTGCCCAGATTTCCATAGTATACTGGAATCCAGCGGGTTTATCTGAGCCACCAAAACCGATGAGGTCGATGGCATAAGCCGTACGACCTTGAGCTAGGGTCGGTATATTCCTACAACCATGTACACTTCTTAACAAGTGGATGCTCAACCAAGCAAAAATCTTAGACAAAAATGATAGGCATAGAAGAATATCTCCATCTTATTGAAGAATGAAAAGCTGTATAAGTGAAGAAATTTGATACAAATTGCTTCGTTCAAGAACACTCATTCACAAAGTTAACTTCTTTTTATCCGAATAGTGGATAACAATACAGAATCAAAAGCCCCCTTTTGAAGCTATTAGAAACTGCAACAATATTTTTTTATTTACTTGACAAAAAACTTTAAATAAAAAAAAAAAAAAATCATGAAACGCAGAAGCTCACAAACCACCGCTCAATCGAAATCAAACTTGTTCATAAATCCAAGTGAAGCCCTTTTTACCGAAAACAAAATTTAATATACCTGCGCCAATGAGCAATCGATGCGCCAAAACCATGAACCAGAAGAAGCGGAGGGCTCACACCAGCAACATCGCCATCGATTTGTGGATAGACAAAGTAATTAACGGCATACCCTTTCCAAACCCACTTTCTGCACTTCCCATCAATTTCTCTCACCTCCAGCGGCGGCAAAGACACTTCCTTTCCGGCGGACGCCGCCACCGTGGACGCGGTGGAGGCATTAGCGCGGTTGACGGCGCAAATGGGATTTTTAGTAAATTTCGCCGGCAAAAATCTGAAGCAACTTGGTAAACGACAAATAGGGTTGTGCTGTAATTGCAGAGTTGTGGACGAAGCTGGTGATAACAACGCATGGGGTGCAGCAAGATTTACCGCCATGGCCAATCAAATAGCATCACCACCACCAGCTCAGGCATATTAGTGGAAGATAACAATGATTATGTAATGTTCGTTGGGCTTCAGCTTATTTGATGCAGCATAAATATAATAATAATAATAATAATAATAATAATAATAAATGATGCAGCATAAATATAATAATAATAATAATAATAATAATAATTATTATTATTATTATTATTATTATTATTATTATTATTATTATTATTATTATTCTTTAATTATCTTGATTAGTTGGTTAGGAAGATATTTTATTTACTTGTTTAACAAGTTAGGGACTCCTAGGTATTGAACTCTATTTATTAGCAGTTTGGCCAGAATGTACAGGAGATGAATATTGAATGAAATAAGATATCGTGTTTTCTTTTGGGAGAGTATCCCGTGTTCTGGAGAGAGTATCTCCTTGTATCTTTTATCCTTCTCATTCGCACGCTTTCGCTACATCAGTTGGTATCAGAGACCGGGTACGTTCCACGATGCCGCCACTGAGAGGAAACAACAACGATCCTACCATCTACGACCGATTGCAACGGATGGATGATCGGATTCACAGTATGGATGATCGGGTTGATGAACTTTCTATGGGGATCGACGAATTACGCCAGACAATGAATACCATGATGAACGAGGTACGTACGGACCGCGAAGGGGCTGACCGGGGCCATCGCGGAGGGATAAGCGGAGGTCGTGGGGGTCGAGGTTATTGCGGGGCGCCCCGCCGACGATCACCACTGCCAACGTTGACCGGTGATGTTTCCGACGAAATATCGAGGTACCACGACTTACGGTGGAGTGCTGTTTTCGACAAACCTCCACGCAGGGTCATTGGCAGCGAGCGCACGGGCGAGAAAAACCTAGGAGCGGCCCGATTTCGCAGTCAACAGCAATCTGAGGAGGGTGTTGATTACCAATTTCGGGCCAGTCGCGGAACCCTAGGTGGCTATTTCCAGCTCAATGCTTCAGGCTTCACCCATGAATTTTGCAACCGAGGGCCCGATCGAGAGGACTCAGCCTTCAGTAGGTTCAGACTGCCGCGCCGCCGCTGGGACGACGGGTACGAGGCCGTCAGCTACGGCGGCTCATCCCGACGGAGCATAGAGGCGCTTACTTGCGGCGGGCTGTCTTTTTTCGCTGCCCATGGGAGAAAATTCGGGCCTGGTGCAGCGGGCTGGGGTCGCGATGGACGCCGCGTCGCTGAGGACGCCGGCGACTACCATGGTCGCGCCGCCTGGTCGGAGGAACAAATTCGCGGCAATTTATGGCAACGTGAACAGCAGCGGCTAGAGGGAGATCTTGGAGCGAATTGGGAATTGGACGGCCGACGCACCGCTGAGGAATGTCCCGATGGACCTGGGCACGACCGGCGAGGCACCGACGCCAGATTCGCAGAAGAGCAGCGAGCAGATGATGGGGACTCTGTACGCAGCTTTTGGGCGTGTGAAGAAGACGATGTCTTCAATAATTTTGGGCCTAAGGAGATACAGTCCAACAACAATTTTTGGGCCTTTCCAGTAGTTGCTGAAATTGGGCCTGTGCATCAGAATTTTGGTCGCGAATTTGGTCAATTGGTGAGCCCATTTCGCGCTGACATTCTTGACTTCGACAAGGATCACATTGACGGGCCCATTTACGACGGTCCGCCCGTTTTTGATGAGGAGTCTCCGATGACGGGGTCGCGTATTTGCGACGACATGGGTCCAACGTTGAAGGACGCGGAGGTTGAACTATCGATTACGCGGCTAGCGGTCGGACCCGATTTAGGGCGTATCTTGGCCAACGATGGTTTTTGGGAGCCGACGACGAGGTTGAATAACTTGTCGTCCGTTTTCCAATTGTGTATCGCGAAATCTCCCATCAACGGGGTGGTTGGCCGTAATTTTGGATTTGGACGCGACGAACGTGGTGTTATGTTTGTTGCTCTTTCGGATGTGTGGGTTATGCGTCTGGCGACATGTGCATGTGCTTTTGCAGCACTTCAACCCTTGCCCAAGCTTATGTTTACCTTCGGTGTTGTTGGACGTTCTTCAAGTTTCGTGTTCGATCGAGGTTGAAGCGGGAAATACTTCTCCAATGGGAACGGGTCGGATTCGAGGGCGAATCCTGCTCAACCGGGGGAGAATGATGCAGCATAAATATAATAATAATAATAATAATTATTATTATTATTATTATTATTATTATTATTATTATTATTCTTTAATTATCTTGATTAGTTGGTTAGGAAGATATTTTATTTACTTGTTTGACAAGTTAGGGACTCCTAGGTATTGAACTCTATTTATTAGCAGTTTGGCCAGAATGTACAGGAGTTGAATATTGAATGAAATAAGATATCGTGTTTTCTTTTGGGAGAGTATCCCGTGTTCTGGAGAGAGTATCTCCTTGTATCTTTTATCCTTCTCATTCGCACGCTTTCGCTACATCATTATTCTCACTGTGAGTGTGTGGCCCAGAAAAGAGAATTTGCGCTCAGGAGTCAGGATGGGTTGAGTTGCTAGTTGGGTTGCTCATGAATGGGCTATAGAACATATATAGACGAGCAGATGGGTTGGAGGTGCTACTTGGGCTTATGAATGGACTATGCAACATATATGTAGGTCAAACAATAATGAGAGAGATATATTAGAGCGCCAGTGTTTCCCAAAAGTGGAATCCAGCTCCATCAAAAGAAAAATTGGAAGGGAAAAAACAAAAGAAATATATATACTTGAGAAAAAGTCTAATCCAAAAGCAAAGTATGTGAGAATTCACAACTCATTAGTGCCTTAATTAATTTAATCATAAGAAAAAGTCAAAGTGGAAAACCATTTCAACTAAAAGATCTCATGCTGTCATGAATATCACTTTTAATATGTATAAATATATATATATATATATATATATATATTTTTTGCAAGAAATGGAGGCAAAGCCTATAATGCCTAAGTCAAAACATTCCTAGGAAGGGCAACGCCCATCCTATCGTGATGTAGCCACATATTCACCCCCGGCAGGGGGCTCTCCAACCTCTGCAAACCACCCGGACACTTTGCCGCTAGAGAGGCAAAGTAATCTGCCACAAAGTTGGCTTCACGATAGCCATGAGCTATGTTCACTTCCCATTGACGACGTAGAAGCTCGAGTATACCCTTCACTAAACCACCATGCGGCCCACTACAACGTTCGCGGGTAATCATCTCTATGACATGTATAAATAATTTACTCCACACCTTTGAATATTTTTTTCTTTTTACTTGTGTGATTTCTGCATTCAACTACCTGAGAACGTCAGAAAATTTTCGACGTAAAATTCTGACCCTCAAATAAAAAAAATATTTATATTAATTCCTCAACCTTTATATCAAGTGTGTTCGGGTTCTGAAGAAAAGTGGGATTCGTGTTCTCCAAGTAAGTAAATGACTCACTTGAAGAAGAAAGATAATCTTACATATCTCGAAAGAAGAGATAACTAATTAGGTAACCTTGTTAAAAATATGTTTCTCTTCCTTCAATAGATAAAAAAATTTCTTTATTATCTCTTACTTAAATGTCACAACTTTTAATTTTTTCTAGCTTAACTTGAAATTACCGTCTTAGTTCACTCATAGAGCTCTCACCTCTAGCACTAATCTTGCTATAGTTCTCACCTCTACATTTGAAGCTCTAGCTCATACATGTAGCTCTAACTCACACCTGAGGTTGTAGTTCAAACTCTATAACTCACACGTTTCTAGCTCTATCTTACATCTCGATCTCTAACTCTAGCTCACGCGATCTTTAGCTCTACCATACACTTCAAGTTCTAGCTCTATCTCTGTTCTCGAGCTCTAACTCTATCACACTTTGAGCTATATCTATATTCTCTAACTCACTCATTACGTACGCTTTATCTCACAACTCTAGAATTCAATAGAGTTCAACATCTTAAGCCCTTGAGTTATCAGTATAAAATAACCAGGTGGGTGTAAGCTATGTCATGCAAATGTAAACCTAGAATTAGAGTTATGAAATAAAACGAGCCGCACGTGAGTTTGGTTCCGTTTAGGTCAGTGCATTACTTAACCTCATTTGATAAATGAGTCGAATTCGTTCGAGCTTGTTTAAGGCTCAATAAGTTAACAAGTCTGCTCGCCTCGGCTCTTTATATTTGAAAAAATTTAGGATTTCTACATAACATTATAATTTTTATAATAAGATCTGTTAAAGATATTATCGTACTTGACTCGTAATTCGTAAAGGCTTTGAATGAAATGAAATCAAACTTGTCTGCTGGCTCTTAACTCAGCAAGATGTGTTTATCTCAATCGATAAGAGCTTGATTTCGAACTCGACTCGTTTACATATTCTATACTTTTTTTCTTAACCATAATCTCATTTACAAAAAAAAAAAAAATAAATAAAAGAAGGAATGGATAAATTTTGAAGTGGGGGCCCGAATTCAAGCGGCAGTATGAGCCTAGGATTCCTACTTTTGCCCACAAGTGTCAGTCCTCAAACGTAGACACCTCAATGTCCTCGTGAATGTGCTAAAAACAAAACCAAATCACCCCAGCTTTTCTCCTTCCTCTCGTCGTTTTCACTCTGCTAGACAGTCCACTCCATCTTTATTCAGACACAAGGACAGGAAAGAAAACTTAAAACCTGATTACTCTGTTCAAAGATCCCAAAAATCAGGCTGGCATACAACACACACAGATAATCAAAGCATGGCCGATGAAACCGCCGCGAAAATCCCACTGGAAGCCGCCGCCGCAGCCGCCGTACAGATCCCACAGCCGCCCCTGGTCGAGCAAACCGAAGTTGCTCCGGAACTCGTCCCCGAACCGCCCCTAGCTTCGGTGGCGCTGGACCTGCAAGAGGACTCGCTCCCGCCGGCCGAGCCGCCGGCAGTAGCGGAGGACAAGCTGCAAGCGGCCGTTACAGTGATAGAAAAGGTCGCCCCTCTGGATCACCCGCCACTGGAACCAACTATCTCGGCGGATCTCGTCACCGTCACCGCCCCCGCCCCCGCCTCCCAGCCAATGGCCGAGGCCCTGGCCGTTCCGCAGGAACCCGACCCTCCGGAAGCCGAACCTAAGGAAACGATCGAGCCGGAAAAGGAGAAACAGACGGCCGAGAAGCTCAAAGCGCCAGAATCATTCGCTTCTTTCAAGGAAGAAAGCAACAAGATCTCAGATCTGTCCCATCCCGAGCTGAAAGCTCTTGAAGACTTCAAGCTCCAAGTTCAAGAAGCCCTTAAAAATGGAGTCTTTAGCAGCGGGTCCACCTCCGAGCCCGCCAACCGGCCCGTACAAATATCGATTTGGGGCGTGCCCCTGTTGATCGATGACAGAACTGACATCATCCTGCTCAAATTCCTGCGTGCCCGCGACTTCAATGTAAAGGAATCGTTCACCATGCTGAAGAACACCATGAAATGGAGAAGGGACTTCAATGTGGATGAGTTAGTTAAGGAAGATTTAGGGGATGATCTCGAAAAAGTTGTCTTTATGCACGGGCACGACAAAGAAGGGCACCCGGTTTGCTACAACGTGTATGGTGAGTTTCAGAACAAAGAATTGTATGCTCGAACATTTGGAGACGAGGATAAAAGATGGAAGTTTTTGAGGTGGAGGATTCAGTTTCTGGAGAGGAGTATAAGGAAGCTGGACTTTAGTCCCGGTGGGATTAATACAATCTTTCAGATTAGTGATCTTAAGAATACGCCAGGGCCCGGGAAAAAGGAATTACGAATCGCCACCAAACAGGCATTGCAGATTCTTCAGGATAATTATCCTGAATTTGTCGCGAAGCAGGTAGGATATATGATATCATTGCATTGTTTCATTTGTCGTCTGTTCGTGTTTGATGCATTGATGGATCTTAGGACAATAAAGGTGTTGTATTGATCATAATTTTTTGGGTTAATTGCATTTAAAATCATAACCTCTTGTGTAATTGCAAATAAAACTCAACTTTTTCAATTTGACAAAAAAATACCAAACATTTAATAAGTATTGCAATTGTGTCTCACCCGCCGGACTGCCGCCAACCGCCACCCGCCGCCGGCCAACTTGATTGGATTTTGAAAAGTTTTACATGATTTTGTAGCTCTGTTCCGTGCCGAAAACATACCGGTTTCACGAAAAAATTCCGACGATAAAGCTTCCAGTTTTTCGGTGAAAATCGTAGATTCTTCAAATTTTCTCCAGCGTTCGTTCGCAAATTCCTTGTGACTCACTTTGACCCATGTGAATCTGAAGGTACGTTGAACTTCTTTCGCAAAGCCGCATCTAGTGACGTCCACTTTCGCCGGAACCGGTGACTTTTTCCGGCGCTGACTTTTCCAGTCATCTTATTCAAGGTTTTTGATATGGCCGGAAACTGATTTTGAGATACAATTGCAATACTTATTAAAAGTTTCCCTTTTTACATTACAGATATGGATTTTATCGATCAGTAATAATAATACCATCAAATTTTTTATTTCTTTGGGAACTCCTAATTTTCTAAAAGACCAATTAGTTGATTCCAAAAAACAAAGAAAATTGGAAGTCTATTCATTATTAGATAATAAAAATTTTCAAAATGATGTTAGGTATGATCTTTTATCATCTAAATTTCTTAATTATGAAACTAAAATGGAATGCTTTTTTTATATATCTCCATTTCAAGGAAATAAGAAACGGTAGTGTTTTGCCAAATTGAAAAAGTTGAGTATTATTTGCAATTCCACAAAAGGTTAGGATTTTAAATCTAACTAACACTAATTTTTTCAATGTGTTTGTATCATAAAATTTGTTCTTTGTGTGCAGAGTTATTGCTGTTTGTGTTCTTATATCATTTATTTATTAAATTTGAGTTGAGGGTTTTTCGGAAAAGATCATTTGATAAAAATAGAAAATGTGGGTGTGCTGGTTAGTGTTCCCCTTATGCATAATTGGCTTAATTATGTTTTTAACATTTGTTGGCTTTAGAATAGAGGTGACCTCTTTTCCATCTTACAGGTTTTTGTCAATGTTCCATGGTGGTACTTGGCTTTCTACAATATGATGAGCCCTTTTCTTACTCATCGGACCAAGAGCAAATTTGTGTTCACCGGCCCGACAAAGACTCCCGACACTCTTTTCAAGTGAGTAATTCGAGTGGTATTTTCATAAAATCATTTTCTTTTTTCCTATAGCAACCTAGCATTAATTTTACTTCTCATTATTGGTTAAATAGGTACATATCTCCCGAACAAGTGCCAACTCAATATGGTGGCCTTAGTGTTGATTACTGTGAATGCAACCCAGAATTCACTGTAGATGATCCAGCTATGGAGATCACCGTTAAACCTGCTACTAAACAAACTGTTGAAATTATTGTAAATGAGGTTCGTTATGCTTTACGATTTTCTCAACATATGATTGAGTGTAGCTGCAAAATTTTCTCCTTACATGGGCTAGAAATTTGGTTCACTAAATACTGCACGTTAGCAAAATTTAGTCACATGTTGTAAACGCCAAATTTTTCAAAAATGTGTTCTAATTTCCGATGGCTAAAGGTCAAAATCAAAATTTGTCATTCAAGAACTTAAGAAGGCTCAAAATCACTAAATGCTAGTAATTAGAAAACTAAGAAAGCGAATTTGGGAGTGCCTAGCTATTGAACAATTATTTTTTTTCATGTATTTAACTAATTGATTTATTTTTTACTTTCAGAAATGCACGCTCGTCTGGGAGCTTCGTGTCGTGGGCTGGGAAGTGAGCTACAGTGCAGAATATGTCCCGAACACTGAACGTGCTTACACTGTGATTATACAAAAAGCGAGGAAATTGCTCCCGACCGACGAGCCTGTTGTGTCCAACAGTTTCAGCATTAGCGAGCTCGGTAAGATATTGCTTACTGTTGATAACTCGACTGCCAAGAAGAAGAAGCTGCTATACCGTTACAAGGTTATGCCTTACATTGTCCAATGATGCCATGTCACGAGTATGTTAAAAAGCTTGTCTTTTAAGTTAAACGTGGGAGTTGATAGTTATGTGGAAAACTTTTTTTTTTTTTTTCCTCTCTTTCTTGTGTGTTGTGGATGTTTCGTATGTCGTTTTGTGCATGTTTGGTTTATAGAAATCTTATTGCCACTTGAGAATGTAAGTTGGGGTTGTTTGACGAGCATCTTTTGCGAAAAAACAATACGTTCATTGGTGGAATTTGGAATGTTCGGGTTTGGAGGATGCACGTAAATATGGGGAGCTTGTGGCTTTTTTGTTATTGAATTCCTCTTCTTTTACTTTGCAATTGCATGTTCTAGGATTTTTGTGAAAAATCCAATTACCAGAAGAATTTTCGACAAGAGCTTCTCCTCATCTGAAGGCTAATTTTGGTTCTTTAAGCAACCTCTATTTAGAAATTTCTGTGTCTTCCTTTGAACAGGGTGATTAGGCTCTTGAAATAAACTGAGTAATGATTAGTTGATTTTAGTAGTTTGACAACATTCATTAAATGGAGATGAGGTGGTTATGTTGTCAATAATCCTTTCTGTATTTGATAGACATGATGTGTGTGTGGTTGTACCTTCCTTTATAGTTTTGTCAAAGGCTGAAAACTCCACATCATTATGGTTCTCATGATAGTTAGGCAGTGATCTTTTTTTTTTTCTTTTCACATTTAGTAAGAAAAAAATGAACATTTGAAACTTGGCTATGTGACAGTAACTATATACGAGTAGCTATTCATCGCCTCACACGGGTCGTAAGTTTGGCCCTGATGTTATGCAGAGCCGCTACCACCTGTACCATGTCGATCCTCCCAGCAACCGAGGCAGTCGAACATTTCAAAGCCAGCTCGAAAACAGAAGACACGCACTGCTCGTGCACCGGGAAAATTGGGTCATCTACCGACAATAGACTCGGGCTCAGGACCTCACTCGACAGGTTCCCATGCATCAATGCTCGGCTGACCCACTCGCGCAAGCTCATCTCCTCGCCAAATATCTCGTCGGTTGGCCTCCTGCCCGTGAACATCTCCAACAATAGTATCCCGTAGCTGTAAACATCCCCACTTGTCGATACCTTCCCTTCTGACCCGTATTCTGTTCACACATCACAATTCGCAAGTAAGTCAGTTGTTTCGACATTTTTTCAAAATTTTGATTTTAGAGAAAAGCGTATACTTTCACCTGGTGCTGCGTAGCCGATTGTGGCCAGCGTCTTAGTAACAACCACCGTTAATCCCTCGTTTAAAAGCTTGGAAATCCCGAAATCCCCGAGATGTGCCGTCATATCCTCGTCCAGCAACACATTGCTCGGCTTCACGTCGCAATGAATAACCGGAAACGTGTGGCCGTGGTGGAGATACTCCAACGCCAGCGCTACATCTGTGGCGACTCTCAGCCTCTGTTCGAGATCCAAAAAGTAGCCGCACTTGTCTGTGTGCAGCCACTTTTCGAGACTCCCATTAGGCATGTACCTTAGAATCAGCGCACGGAACTCCGTGTTGGTGCAACACCCGATCACGGGGACCAAGTTCCTGTGGCGTATGGTGCTCAGTATCTCGCTCTCCGTGTCGAAGCTCCTGTCTGCCCCCTCCGCGCGCAGGTCGAACACCTTGACTGCCACGGACGACCCGTCGTCGAGCGAAACCCGGTAAACTGACCCGAACCCGCCCCTCCCGAGTAAATTCGTCTCGCTAAACGAGCTCGTGCCGCGCTGGAGCTCGCGGTACGAGATCCTTCTATACACGGCCTTGATCGGAATCCCGTCCGCTGGGGCTCGAAGCACCGCCTTTGTCCTCCCGCGTCGCCGCCGTGTCAGCAGAATTGCGGCGACGGCCGCGACAATAGCTGCGGCGGCAAACGAGGGCAAGGCGTATTTTATAACCGTCAGACTCGTTCTCCGCGATTTTCTCGACGGGCCGCAGGGCGACACTCCAAATCTCGCGGGCCCGCATAAAGCGGAGTTGTGAGCGAACGACGTGGCGGTGAAATTACAGAAAGGCCCCTCGTCCGGGATCTTGCCGCTTAGCATGTTGTAGGAGAGGTTGAGTTTGTGGAGGAAACGAATGCCTAGTAACGACTCGGGTATCAAGCCGGAGAGACTGTTGTTAGACAGATCCAATGTTGTGAGTCCTCTAAGGTTTTCGCCCAACGATTCGGGGATGGTTCCTCGGAAGTTATTATTTGATAGGGAAAGGAAATCGAGTGAGTGGCAATCGCTTATCGAGCTTGGGATATCGCCCGTGAGTTGGTTGGACGATAGGTCAAGGTTGCCGAGCACCTTTAGGCTCCCAACCAGAGGCGACAACTCGCCGGTTAACGAGTTTCGGGACAGGTCTAGAACACGGAGGTCGACGAGATTCCACAAGCTGGGAGGTATCGTCGAGTTGAACTCGTTCGAATATAAATGAGCTATGGTTAGAGACTTGAGTTGGCCCAAGCAATCAGGGACCGGACCCACGAGCGCGTTGTCTTGCAAGTACAACTCCCCCAAACGGCGCAATCTGCAAAGATCGGAAGGGATATGGCCGTGCAGTCGATTTCCCCCGAGCGACAGCGCGTAGAGCTGACTCAGTCCTCCTATTGCTTCCGGGATTAATCCCGTGAGCCGATTCTCGGACAATTCCAGGACTTGTAGATTTTTTAAGTTTCCAAACTCATCGGGGATGGGGCCGACGATCTTGCAGTCCGCCGCAATGAACCTAACGAGGGAAGCAGATAGATTCCCGACTGAGGATGGGAGGGCACCTTCGAATTGATTGTTGGATATCTCGAGAATCTCAAGCTTTCGGCAGCCAGACAATGAGGATATAAACGTGAGTTCCCGGGTGGCGGTTAAGTTGTTCTCCCAAAGACGAAGGGCTTCAAGGTTCACGAGGCTGCTGAAGTCGGGCACAGGCCCGCTGAACCAGTTTTTGTTGAGCTCAAGTTTGATGAGGGTCGAGGCATTGGCGATGGAGCTCGGGATTGGGCCTGTGAGCTTGTTGAAGTGTATGATAAGTTTTTGAAGGCGGGAAAACGGAGGAATAACGCCAGGAGGGAGACTGCCAGAAAGAAGATTCTGTTGTAGGTAGAGTGTCGTCATGGCCGATATATTGAATAGGGAAGGCGGGATGGGACCCGACAGGCGGTTGTAGGGCGCCGAGAACAAATCGAGGCTAGCTAGGTTACCAAGCTCCTCCGGTAATTCACCTGCAAAAGCCCACATGTGAAGATCTCGTTATTTTCTATCACGTAGCAAAAATCGAGACTGATGAATATATTCAATGTAAGAAATATGTACCTGTCAACAAATTAGAAGCAAAATCCAAATATATCAGGGAAGTGAGATTCCCAAATTGTTTTGGTATGTCACCTGATCAGATGTAGAATCACTGAATCAGGATAGAATAATCACTACAAAAAATGTGGTATTCCATCGAAATAACTTACGGTAATATATTCTAATAGAAATTTCAACGCATATTTTAATGATATAGCTTTCATTGGAATGATTCCAACAAAAATTTCAACGGAAGTATTCGTTGGAATGAGTTTTTCATTAGAATTTAAATAAAATTTTATTATTCTGATGGGTTTTACCGTAGAAATTTTCGTTTAAATTTTATCATATATTCATTTTTGTAGTGAATAGCCTCCATAAAGAATGAACAAGTATACATGCTTTTACATTAGATATTATACTTTAATAAAACTTTAATGAACGCTTGAGTAAGTGATTGAAAATACCTGTCAAGTTGTTTTTGTAAAGGTACAATTCAGAAATGTGAGGTAGATTGTAGGGAGCCTCTGTTGGGATATTTGCAGATAGATAATTGGAGGAGAGGTCAATGATTGTCAATGTGGAAATATTGAATATAAAAGATGGTATAACACCTGCATTTAATTAAATAAATACATACCAAATGAGTATTGTTGAGAAATAAAAATATTCATTTGAGTCAACTTAGTCAAAATAAGGACAATGTTCTCTGTTTAAAATTTTTTGTTACACGTGTCATTCATCTAATAAAATTAACTATAATGTGAAATACAATTTTGTTAAACATTATATTTTCCGGTCAGAATAATAACACACACAATTGCCAAACATACCGGTCAATTTGTTATTCGAAAGCCACAATTCCTCAACCTCCGGCAGGTTCGCCGGTGCTCCTTCGAAACCTAGAAATTAAATAATATTCAATATTAATCGCTTAGCCACAAAACTATACTTCGTATTTCAAAATTGTATTCTAATTCATATTTTGTTAGTCGAATGACACGTATAGATGTGAAATCACCGTAAATACGTGTCATTTATTCGACTAAAATGACACATATTTACGGTGATTTCACATCTATACGCGTCATTTGACTAACGAAATATGAACTGGAATACGATTTTGAAATAGAAAGTCCTTCCACATGAGCATATTCTTGAATTACTTTAGCACAATCACTAATTATACACAACACCTTGGAGTTGGTTATCATAAAGAGCCAAAAGCCTAAGCTTGGGCAAGCTCCAAACACCACTTGGTATTTTGCCCCTGAAGTTATTTCCGGCCAAATTCAGCTCCTCAAGCCCTCTACACTTGGAAATATTCGCCGGAATCCCCCCTTCGAGCCCGTTTCTCGACAGATACAACGTCTTGAGACTCGGAAAATCTCCGCACACATCGCTCGGGAGCTCGCCCGTCAGCATGTTGCCTCTCATGTCGATTGTCTCGACCAATGACGAGACGTTGAACAAACCGCTCGGTACGGACCCCAATAACTGATTGCTCGATAGGTTAAGCGTTACGAGCCGGCGCAAGTTGGAGAAAATCTCGGGCCGCATGGGGCCCGTGAAGTTGTTGGAGCTGAGGTCCAAGGTCCGGAGGAAGGTCAGGTTCCCTAGGTGCGGGTCGAGTGGGCCCGCAAGCTCGAGGCCCGAAATGGCGAGGCCCGTGACCCGTTGGTGTTTTGGGCCGCACGAGACACCAGCCCAGTGGCACGGGGAGGAGCTCGCGGACCAGTTTGCGGTTAGGGCCGCGTGGGGGTCCAAGAAGATGGAGTTTCGGAAGGCGAGGAGTGCGTGTTGGTCCGTGGTAAGGTCGAAGGTCGGCATGGGCCTGGGCCTGGGCCCATTTGGTGGGAGTAAGAGGGCAAGGGAGATAGTGAAGAAGAGAGGATAAGTGAAGAAGAAGATCATCTCCATTTTTTTTTTCTTCCTAATGGGTGATTAGTTTACATTATTTGCATGATAGTCTCTAAAGTCTTTATTTATGCTCTATGGTGGATAATTTTCTTTTCCCACTGAAAAATTAACAGGGCAACCACTTTATTTATCCATTTATTTCTTTTGTGGTGGTACATATTTTCTATCTGCACTACTACGATAATGCTTCCTTACTCACGGTGGATACATGTTAATATATTCACCGCTTATGTGGCATGCACATATTGGTGATGTTAATATGTTCAAAACAAACATCACCAATGAGTGCATGCCACATAAACGGTAGACATATTAAATATGTGTCCACCGTGAATAGGTGAGCATTACTGCTGCGGATATATATATATGAAGATAAGATACTTGTTTATTAAATTGTGGGGTATTTAACTATTTATTTCATTTCCTATTGATCAGCACATTAATAATGATCTTCATGTTTGTTTAAATGGTTTCATATATGTAATGATTCCATAAAATAGTGTTGGGTAGAAACCTTTGGTAAATTATATGTGGAAAATAGCAATCCTAAATGTGGCTCATCAAGTGGGTTCACCATCATTTCTGTATCCTCTTATTGGAGTTGTTGTGAGGTTAGAAAATAAAATTGATTTGAAATAGATTCGATAGTGATAAGCATTATAAATATTTTATTTGGGACAAATTAATTGTGTATAATTGTCATAAAATAATTTAATTATTTGAGGCTTTCAAATTTATTATGGACTTAAACAACGTAGATACAATGATAAAATTTTTTTGTTCGTCGAAAAATCAAACTGAAAATCAAAGATTTATTTATTTGATTATGGCATAAAAAAACAATAAGAAGCCACGAAATTGTTCCTAAGTTGACACTTGTGAATTAGATCCATCCAATATAGTATTAAAAGAAATTCAAATTTCCACTTGATTCCGGTTTAATTTAAACACACAATTAAAACGAGTTGTGGTGTAAATTATAAAATATAATTATAATATTAATAATATTATTATATTATTTTTTTATTTTTTTGGTATAAAAAAGGAAGCTAAAGGTCCGAAACTTCTAAACTATAACTTGTCGTGGGTGAGCCACCCCACGAATGTCGTGATCAAGCCATGCATCCATTCCTAGACGAGGTGACCAGATCCGTTGCAAGCCCAACGGGCCACTAAATGGTGGTGGATAGTTTCGGTTTGGGAATTTTCCTAATTTTATTGGGTTTGCGACGCCCACTAAACCAGCACTAGGTATATTAATGGTCCTCGCTGTAATGAAATTATACTATAGTCTACCACTTTAGTCGTGGACCATTTAATCTGCTCCAATATTTACTGATATACATCATCATGTCATTTAAATTCCAGACCAGTGGGTACAAAAATAAAATAAAAAAGAAAGGAAAAGGGAAAAAATAAAATAAAAAACAAGGCTAATATTATGTGTCATTACCACTCTATAAAAAGCTGACCAACAATAGCTTAATAAGAGTATCTAAATACATATATATGATCAATTAAGTGCTTTAATTTAATGAGTGGTTAATTTAACATAATTTGCTTCCATGGCTACAACTCTCACTCTTGGGCTGCTTCTCATAACTTTGTCTCTCCATCTCACAGGTCATTCTATTTGCTTTTCATTTAATTATCATACAAAGTTGATAATCAATATATTATATATATACTATTTATCATTTACTTGTATAAAACGAACAATCTGACATGCATGCATGCAGTCGGTCAAATCGGGGTCAACTATGGTCGTATAGCGAACAACCTGCTTCCTCCGTGGCAGGTCGTTCAGTTATTCCAATGGTACAACATCCGCCGCATGCGCATTTACGACACCGACCCAGATACCCTCGATGCCCTTCGAGGCTCCGGAATCGAGCTCACTGTCGGCGTCCTCCACGACGACCTCGAGTGCCTCGCCAACTCCCAATCGTGTGCCGACAAGTGGGTCGACACCAACATACGAGCCTACTCACCCGACGTATGCTTCACGCACATCGTGGTCGGCAACGAGGTTAGCCCGTCGGACCCACAAACCGCGCGGTTTGCTCGGTTCGTGCTCCCGGCCATGCAAAACATATACAACGCCGTTTCTGGCCGACCGGGCGGCCTCAACGTCACCACCGCCATCAACATGAACATTCTCGAGAATACGTACCCGCCGGCGGCCGGCGAGTTCCTAGCCGACGTGGGACCATACATCAACCCGATCATCCGGTTCCTCTCCGACACGAGCGCCCCGCTTTTCGCCAGCGTGTACCCTTACTTTGCGTACATCGAAAATCGAGCGAACATCGACATCCGGTACGCTCTACTCGACCCGGGATTCCCGGGGATCGTTGTCCCCGGCGGGATTCTTTATCGGAATCTTTTCTATGCGATGATTGATGCGGTGATTGCTGCCGTCGAGAAGAGCTTGGCCGTGTCGTCGTTGTCGTCGCCGGAGGCGGCAACCGGTGAAATTAGGATGACGTTGGAGGTGAAGAGTAGTGAGAGCGGGTGGTCAAGCTCGAGGAAAACTAGGCCGCCGGGGTGCGTCACGCCAGAAGACGATGACGTGGCGAACAGGAGGAACGCGAGAGCTTACGTCAACAACTTGATACGGGTCGTCAAGTGCGGGACTCCGATGAGGCCCGACCAGCCGATAGAGACGTATATATTTGCGATGTTTGATGAGAACTTGAAGCCGGGGAATAAGGAGGAGAGGCATTTCGGAATGTTTACGCCGAGAGGTCGACCGAAATACCGAGTCAATTTTGACTAACAATTAAGCTAGCCTACACTTGCAAGTGATTTACTTACGGGCTTTTCATAGTAAAGGAAAACTTATAAATTATATGTATGGATATTATATAATAACAAAAATAATGCATACATATTTTGTGAATGATCATACTTTATCTCATTTTTGTAATTTTTCAGCAAAGTTGTTGTAATTATTGACAAGTTAACACAAAAAAAAGAAAATCAATTATTTTAGCAAATTATTTTTTTAATTCAAATATAATTTAACTTTAACTCAATTCACTATTTGCAATCAATATAATTAAATAATATTAATTAATTATTTTTATACATTACATCAAATTTAATTTACTATTCATCCACTCATATAATCTCTATATATATAATTGCTAGCAAAAAAATTGATAAAGATATTTTGGTTTCCTTCCAATTTCGATTACAAAAATCTATCATCATTTTTTCTTTTACCTTTCTGATGAGGATAGATGAGGATATTATTATTATTATTATTATTATTATTATTATTATTATTATTATTATTATTATTATTATTTAATAATTAGTAGCTTGAAGAATAAGCTAGGGTTTAATTTAGGGGCTTTATTTAAAGGGTCTTATGCTTTGTTATTAGGGGAGAATTTGATGAATGAAAATAATTGATGGTGTTTTCTTTTGGGAGAGTATCCCGTATTCTGGAGAGAGTATCTCCTTTTATCTTCCCATTTGTACACGCTTTCGCTACATCAGTTGGTATCCAGAGACCGGGTACGTTCCACGATGCCGCCAATGAGAGGACACAACGATGATCCTACCATCTACGACCGATTGCAATGGATGGATGATCGGATTCACAGTATGGATGATCGGGTTGATGAACTTTCTATGGGGATCGACGAATTACGCCAGACAATGAATACCATGATGAACGAGGTACGTACGAACCGCGAAGGGGCTGACCGGGGCCATCGCGGAGGGATAAGCGGAGGTCGTGGGGGTCGAGGTTATTGCGGGGCGCCCCGCCGACGATCACCACTGCCAACGTTGACCGGTGATGTTTCCGACGAAATATCGAGGGACCACGACTTACGGTGGAGTGCTGTTTTCGACAGACCTCCACGCAGGGCCGATGGCAGCGAGCGCACGGGCGAGGAAAACCTAGGAGCGGCCCGATTTCGCAGTCCACAACAATCTGAGGAGGGTGTTGATTACCAATTTCGGGCCAGTCGCGCAACCCTAGGTGGCTATTTCCGGCGAAATGCATCAGGCTTCAACCATGAATTTCGTAGACGAGGGCCCGATCGAGAGGACTCAAGCTTCACTGGGCTCGGACAGCCGCGCCACCGCTGGGACGACGGGTACGAGGCGGCAGGCTATGGTGGCGCAACCCGACGACGCACGAAGGTGCCTACTGGGTTGTCTTTTTTTGATTCCAAGGGGACAAATTTCCGGCGTACTGAGGCGGGTTGGGGTCGCGTGGGGCGGCGCTTCGGTGAGGATGCCGGCGACTACCATCGTCGAGTTACCTGTTCGGACGAACTTACCCTAGGCGATTTCCGGCCACGCGCACAACGGAGGCCAGACGGAGGGCGTGCAGCGGATTGGGAATTGGACGGCCGACGCGCCGCTGAGGAATGTCCCGATGGACCTGGGCATGACCGGCGAGGCACCGACGCCGGATTGGCAGAGGCGCAGCGACGGGAAGGGAGAGGTGGAAGGATTTGCGATTTGTGCGTTGTGCAGAGAGAGATCGATGGGCAGCGACGCGAAGTAGAGCTCGAGAAATTTCTTCACAATTTTGGGCCTTTGCAAGGGCGGCCCATTTCCGTTTATTTGGACCAAGGGAGAGATGAATTTATTCCATCTTTTTGGGCCAGGGAAGTAGCTGCGGTAATTGGGCTTGAACAGTGTAATTTTGGCAGCACATTTGGTCAATGGGTGGACTTGTTTCGCTCTGACATTCCTAACTTCGACAAGGATCACGTTGACGGGGCAATGTATGACGGTCCGCCTATTTTTGATGAGGAGCCTCCGTTGCCGGAGATACATATTGACGGCACTTTGGGCTCCACGTGGGACATCCTCCCGATGGTCCCTTTAACAGAACACCCGTCGTTTGGACCGAATTTTCAACATATTTTTGCGACGGATGGTTTTTTGGAAACGCCTTCGGGGGTCAATAGCTGTCGGGACATTGTTGGATTGTTTGTTCCGAAGTCTTCCCCCAGTGGACGTTCTGGCTGTAGTGATTATGCTTTTCGTTCGGCTTCTAGGATTCTGCATCAGGAAGTAGGCTCCTTTGCTTTTCCGACCGTTATAGACGTGCCCGAATTTGTGTTCGCCGGTGCGATTGGACGACCTTCGAGCTTCGTGTTCGATCGGGGAAAATCTGGATTATTCATGTCCTGGTGACTTCTCCAACGGGAACAGGTCGGATTCGAGGCCGAATCCTGTTCAACCGGTGGAGAATGATGAGGATAGATGAGGATATTATTATTATTATTATTATTATTATTATTATTATTATTATTATTATTATTATTATTATTATTATTATTATTATTTAATTAGTAGCTTGAAGAATAAGCTAGGGTTTAATTTAGGGGCTTTATTTAAAGGGTCTTATGCTTTGTTATTAGGGGAGAATTTGATGAATGAAAATAATTGATGGTGTTTTCTTTTGGGAGAGTATCCCGTATTCTGGAGAGAGTATCTCCTTTTATCTTCTCATTTGTACACGCTTTCGCTACATCACTTTCATATTAATCCTCCCTATTAAGTGTAATCATATATTTTTTTACTATTGTATTATATAATAATTAATGTTAATATCAATTTATAATCCACATAAATATAAATTACATAAGTATAAACAGTCTTGTTGCAATTAATTTTCTTCATTATCCTTTTTTTTTTTTTTGGTATCTCATAAAACAATTTTCTCTAAAAGAAATTAGCTAAATAGTTCCAATAGTATAGTCAAACCACTTTAAAATCTTATAAACAATTGTTGCTATGATGATGATGATGATGATGATGATGATGATGATGATGATGATGATGATGATGATGATGATGATGATGATGATGATGATGATGATGATGATGATGATAATAATAATAATAATAATAATAATAATAATAATAATAATAATAATAATAATAATAATAATAATAATAATAATAATAATAATAATAATAATAATAATAAATTTTCAACTAAATTGTTTGACCATCATCCATCCAAATTATAAAAATTGCATTACCCACAAATTTTTTTCAATCAATAGAGTAATTTATATACTTAAATAATATATATTTATGTTATTTGTTTACTAATAATAAATCTTGAAAATTTAATATGTTCATTCTTTATAATTTTAATATTAAGTTCACACATATTACCTCCACTATTTTAAATACATTTGTGCATGTGCATATGATATATAATTCCTATTTTTAACTAATCATCATTCTCAATCATCTTTTTCTTATTTTACATCAAATTAACTTTAATTATTTTATTTAAATATTACTTTAATATAAGCTCAAAATTCCACTAATAACTAACCATACCATATTTTTTTCAAAATTAACCACAAAAAGTCCAAACAAAATCCAAAAATTTTATATCCAAACATCCTTAGCAAACTGTATTCTGTGATTTTTTTTTTTCTTGAATCTTTGACTATATTTTCATGACATTTTTCAAAATACACCTGCCAAGTTGTATCAATGATTTTACAAATTAAAAATCAATGTTTTTTTTTTTTTTTTCCTAAAAACATTTGAAATTCTCCAAAATAACATGTGCTCCAGTTATGGAATGCTGGTTGTGAAACAGTGAGTCAAAACTCAAAAGGTATCCCCAAAAACATGCATATGCATATTTTCAGATAGAAAATCCATATATACTGGTATTTGGGCTGTGACCCACCTAGCAAAACATCCAAAAACACAAGCCCAATTAAATCTTTGCAGTCAATTTAACAAACGGGAAAGATGCTTCAGTCCCGTTACGAAACCATTCCGTCGGGGCTTATGACCGTGAGATCATCGTGTAACCGTCGAAGATAGTTGATCTAACAGTTACAAACCTTGACGGAATAGTTCGGTAATAAGACTGCAGCATTTCTCTTAACAATATACTGCAAGAAAACTGACAGGCTGGCATATTCCAACAAGAATTTCCAATAGAGGAAAAAAAACAATCAGATATTTGGAAATTAAAGTGCATATTTATATTGTGAAACATTATATTTTTTTTTTTATGTTGTTTTTTAAAGTATAATATTTTAATTTAATAAAATATATATTTATTACTAAATTATGACCGCCAAAAGGTTAAACCCTGTAACTGCAACCTCACTCTTTTAGTTTAATGTTTCTTCTTTTTTGGTCTTCACGGACAGATCAATCTTCACTGTTTATGAGCCATATTTTGTCTGCTGCTTTCTGTAAAGTGCTTATGAAACTATTTGATTAGTCTTCTTTTTTTATTTATTTATTTTTTTTACTATTTTTTGCTTGAGTTTTTTTTTTTCAAAAAATAAAAATAAAAAATAGGCCTGTCACAATTCAATAATTATTTATTTTCTTAATATTTTTTGCTTGAGTTTTTTTATTTTACAAAAAAAAAAAAAAAAATAGGGCTGTCACAATACAATATTGTTAATTAACCAAAACATCTTATGAACTCCCAATAAATTTCAATATTTCTTGGTTGGGGGTATATTAGAAAAATTACCCTTATTATGCTTTGACCTAATAAAAACAGTGTCCAATGATATTATCAAAAATAAATATATATTTCGAGCCCTGGGAAAACTCTTGAGGGAGAGCTTTGCCGCCCTTGTGGTCCTACTCGGCTCGATTCTGGATTAGTCGGTTTCCCTGTGGATCTAGAAATCGGAAGGTCCCTGTACCAAAAAAAAAATAATAAATATATACATAAAATATAGTACAGAGGAAGTTCTTGATATATGCCATTTTACAATTTTAAAAAGCTTAGAAATAATTAAACACCAAGAGAGTAATTTATATGATTTTGAAAATGTCATTTTTTTGCCCCATTTTTCTAAGTATAATAAAGAGGTGGTACTTTTTATAATTAATTAACATTCAATAAAATCTTTCTACAAAACATGAAAATATAGCATTTTAAGCTAGTTACTTGAACAATTTTTTAAAAAAATAAAATTAAAATGCAATATAGTTATAACTATATTGCATTTTAATTTTTTATTTTTTTCAAAAAAAATTAAATTATGTGAACATGATATTATCTTGTTCGCATAATTTAATTTTTTTTTAAGTATACGTTCTTTTATTCACCCGATTAAACATTATATGATTCCTAATCAAAATTGTTCTTTCTAGAATACAAATAGATGTAAATTCGAAATTATGCACTCGTGAAAACATTAAGTCAAATCGTAAACATATTAAGTCGTGTACTAAGTCAATGTGTATCTTTCGCAAATACATAAATTAACCACGTCTGATTCGTGTGAACTTATCAAATCGTTTATACCACTCTATTATCCATGAGACTACGAGAAGTTGTAATTCAGTGAGAATCCAAACTTGAAGTAAGATACACACAAAAACATTCAAGAAATTGACATTTGAGATAATATTCCAATATAGCATTGGACACACATGCAATAAATTGGAAGATTTGGCAACTTGGATCATATGTATTGCCAGAGAAAATGAGAACAAGTCATAAGAATATTAACAATCATTAGCTGGGTCTATCAATCATTTACAATTATAACAAAAATGTATATATTTATATTATATAATGTTATATTTTTATTTATTTTCTTATATAGAGAGTGACATTTCATTTCAAAAAAATGTATATTTATTGAAAAATATATGTTAGCCCAACACTAGATACAAAATACTCTACAATAGTTCTGTATGAAACAAATAGCAATTATGAAAAATAATTTACACATAAATCAGTCACAACATGAATAAAAATAAAAACAAATAGGTAAAAGTTTTTTCATGATCCAATATTCCCAATTGTCTATGCACAAGCACAATTTCAAACAAATCCAATACCACAAACCTTATAAATTCATGAAGAAAAAAAAACAAAAAAAAAAAACAACAACAAACCAATGTAAAATAACCAAACTCCCCCACACATGTAACTGAAAAAAACTAAGTTCAATAAATAAACCAAACTTTGAGTAAAAAAGAAAAGAATAATATATGTTGATGAACAAATGACCCTCTTTATTCTTCTTCTTCTTCTTCTTCTTCTTCTTCTTCTTCATTATTTCCACTTCATTCGGAGGGCTTCGTCTTGGACCGGTAGAGAAGCTTCTTCTTTTTAGAGGTTTGGTTGTCGAATGTGAGGAGAACTTTCCCAGCTTCATTAGTCTTAAAGCTGCAGCTTATAACTTGTTCATCGGCCGGTGCAATTTTCCGAGCCTTCTGTACAATCAATGTGTATCCACCCTCGGCACTTGGCTGAAATTCGGCTCCGTACGAGACTTCCCAACCCACAACTCTAACCTCCCAAATCAATGTACCAGCCTGTAAAAAAAAATATAAAAAATAAAAATAAAAAAATCCCAATTACGGTTCAATCTTGCAAATTACCCCATAAACACGAATAATCGATTGATTTTTTGTGTTCTGTTCTGTTTTGCAAGTTTAAAAAGTAGTCGTTTTCTTCGTTTTTTTTTCCATTAGTAATTCATCAAGTCAATGCTATATACAAAAACAAAATATTAGTAAATTTAGAAAGCCAAAGCTCACCTCAGTGATAGGCAATTCAATGATGTGTTTGCAAGTTGGTTTAATAACTTCCTCAATTGCAGGGTCAGCAGTGGTGAATTCTTGATCTCCAAGTTTGCTAAGGCCACCATATTGAACTGGTACTTGCTCAGGTGCTATGTACCTTTGGAACACAAAACATAATATCCAAATTAAACCAATTTTACACACAGGTGAGTATTAAAAAATAAATAAATAAAAATCAAAATTAAATATTGCTGACTTGAAGAGAGTCTCAGCAGTCCTTGTAGAGCCAGCAAACACAAACTTGCTCTTGGTTCTTTGGGTCAAGAATGGGCTAATCATCCTATTGTAAGCCAGATACCACCATGGAACATTGATAAACACCTTAAAAAAACCGGCAAACATATCAATTTTATACCTCAATTAACTAGAATCAGAGACAGTTCTATCAGTTTGTGCCTAAAATGGAGTCAAGTTACAGATGAACATTTGTTGAGCATAATAAAAACCCATAAGCAGCAAACGAATAAAGACGTGATCTTTAAGCCTAAACACAGACGTGATCGATATCTATCGGCATTAAAGAAGCGATTTTTGGGTACCTGTTTGGCCACAAATTCAGGATAATTGTCCTGCAGCAGTTGAAGGGCCTGGTTAGTAGCCTGGCGAAGCTCCTTCTTGAACAAGATGAGCCCCGGTGAGTTATTCAGATCGATTATCTGAACTATAGTGCAAATCCCACCGGGACTGAAATCCAGCTTCCTCACATTCTTCTCCAACAACTGAATGTACCATTTCAAGAATTTGTCTCGTTTTTCGGCATCAGCAAATGTGCTATCATACAATTCTTTGTCCTGAAACTCACCAAGTGCGTTGAAGCAAACAGGGTGCCCTTCTTTATCCACACCATGCATATAAACAACTTTTTCGAGGCCCTCGACAATGGTTTCCTCCTCGAGAAGCTTCTCGATTCCGAACTCCTTCCGCCAGGCCACCACGCTTTTGAGCATGGCGAAGGCTTCCTTCACCTTGAAATCCCTCGCCCGAAGGAATTTCAGCAGGATCGAGTCGCTCTTCTCGTCCGCCAGGAGGGGGACGCCCCAGATGGAGACCTCTTCCGGCGGAGGCGGCGGCAGGGCCGGCTCCTCGCTCGGCGGCACAGGGGCGGCGACCTCGTGGACGATGGTCTCTTTGATTTCCTCCGCGGCCTCTGCTGCTTTCTCTTCGGATTTCTCGGGCTTCTTCTCCTCCGCCGCCGCCACTTTCACCTGATCCACTGGCTCCTCCGCCGCCTCTGTCACCGGCTCCGGCTCCTTTTCCTTGACCGGCTCCGGCGCCTCCTCTTTCGCTGGCTCTGCCGGAGTTTCTGCGCAAGCTTCGGCTTTTTCAGTAGTTTTGGACTCCTCGTCTTTTTTCTCTTCGGTCTTGGGCTCCTCTTCTTCTTTCTTCTTCTCCCAGACGGCGGCCGGAGGCGGCGGCGGCGGGACGGTGAACTCGTGCTTGCTAAGAGCCTCCTGAATCAGAAGCTTGAAATCGTCAAGGGCCTTCTTTTCCGGGTCGACCAACTCGTCGGCCTTATTGCTCTCCTCCTTGAACGAATCCGATTCAGAAATTTTCGTCCCTTCAGAAGCTTCGTCCTTCTCCTTCTTCTCCACCGCCGCGCTCTCTGCCTTAGCCTCCTCCGCCGCCTTCTCCACCGGCTCGGGAGGCGCCTCCTTCTCCACCACGGCGGACGCCTCCTTCTCCTCCACCGGAACGTCGGGCACCGAGACCTCCTCCGCCGCGCACGCCGCCTCGGGAGCCGTCTTATTGGTTTCTTCAGCCATGGATGGGTGTCAAAAGAATCTTGGATTTTTTTTCCTCAAAGATTGATCTTTTACAGAAACCCAGCAAAGAGAAACTGGTTTCTGATAGAGAGAAATCAAAATCAAAGGGGATAAACAAAAAAGGCGATTGAAATGAGGGATTGGTGTGGAATTTGTAGAGATTTTTTTGGGAGAGTATATGAAGAAGATGAACAGTCTGTCAAAGACGTGGAATTTTTGGTTGCCAGCTCGCTGTATAGTGTGGGACCAAATTTTCCTTTTTCAAATCAAAAATCTAATTACAGTTAATTTTATTGGCTGTAATTTACTTGTTTTGTGCCAATAAACAAATATTCCCATATTTGATTACATATTGTGGCCTGGACTGTTTGAATAATAATCAGATTTAACATTTTTATAAGAGATTTATTATCATTTATTACAATATTAGATTTTTTTTCCTGCTTTGGAAAAAAGTATTATTATAGATTATATTAATAAATTAAACTACATAAATTGATTTTTTTTTTGATATGTTTGGTAAAATTAAATGATAAGATAGCTTATATAGTTTATCGGTAACTATCAATCTTAATAGATTATATAGCTTATATAGCCGAAAAATTGACTTATATAATAAAAGTGCTTTGGTAAAATTAGTTGATAAGTTAGCTGAAATAAAAATTTCAAAAAACTTATTGAAAAGCTACCAAAAAAAGTTATGAAATAAGTTCGAGTTTTAAAAAAAAAAAAAAAAAAAAAAAAAAAAAAAAAAAATGGGTCTGGCAAACGATGTTTATTAAAATAAACATAGTTAGAAAGTAATCAAATTAAGTTATGAGCTATGTTATTTGTCTATCAAACATAGTCACAACTTGAAAAGTAAAAAGGGATATTTTAATTTTTTAAAAAATTGTTTTTCCTTTCTTTTTTTTTTTAAAAAAAAAAAAGTGATTGAAACTCATGATTATTGTGATTGTGGACTTTTTCACCACATCCAATGCACTAAACAACTTATTTTGAAATTATAACGGGATTATTATAATTTTGTTTCTTGTAATTACACTTAAATAGTTTATGTGTGAGAGTGAGTAATATTTACGCATCCACTAGTAATCAACCTTGTGCATTTGCACATAAATAAACAAAGTATTATAAATTATTTTTATGTATATAATTTTAAAATTATAAGTTGGATAATGGTATTATATTTTAAATATGTAGCAATATAAGTTATATAATTATATTATGTTTAAAAATTTGATAATTGGTTAAAACAAATAGCACATAATGATTTGATTGCATAAAATGTAATAAATGATGTAATTTTGAGGGATCAGAATCAATTAAGTAGTTAGAAAATATTAAGTGTATTATAACAATAGTTTATGAGATTTTATGGAATTTGAATACAACATTTAAACAAATTAATTTATTTAAAAACAATCGCTTAATCAGATAAAAATATAATATTGATTTTAGAATAAATAATTTGTTCAATCAAAAATATAAGTATTAGGTTTTTGTCTTAACTAAAAAAAATGCACTGAAATATTCATCATTAATAGGATAGAGTAGATTAATCATTTGCTAAATAAGTCAAATTTATTCGGTTTTATTTAATGACTTGCTAGCAATTTAAATATATATATATATATACATATATATATTATTTATACTTTTATATCTTTTTAATTGAAATGTCGTTTTAAAAATAACGTAAACTAAAATATGAAACTTTATAAAATAAGAGAAAATGTTATCGTCCCATTACGTTGGGATTTTTAACCGTTAGATGCACGTGGATTAGAATGTAATATACGCATTATATTACTTATAACTCTAAATATTACGTACATACATATAATGTGTAACATTTATATGTATTTGTGGATGTGCATATGATCGACTACTATTATCACATAATTAGCATAAAACCTAATTATTTGCTTATACTAGTAATGTTATGAATTGGGATAAGAGGACATTTTCTCATCATATGAACAAATACATTACAATATCAAAGTCAATTAATTAACAATAATTGCATCTAACGCCTAGTCTTATATTATGCCATTATCATCTAATGCAATTATTAGTACTTAAATTAGTTCATGTCACGAGGCTGTAGTCACAATAATTATAGACTATATAATTTTATCGGTTTTGTTATGAAGCCAACAGTTGACTCCATAATGGAGTCAACCTTTTATCACTAATATAATTTTATTAATATGGTAGATTTATTTGTTGTATATAGAAAGTTGGCTCAAGAGTCAATTATTGGTTTCATAACAAAGCCGATAACTTTATATAATATAAACATATTTTAAGAGATATAATAATTGTTGGCGTGTTATAAGGCATGGATAAGGCTTGGTGAAATTTCTCTACACTATCAATTTCAAAAATATAATCAGTTGAAAATAGAGAATTTACTAAAACCTTTGGCATGGAAAGTGATATATATTTTGTAGACTTTGTAGTTATCTCTATTGGCTAAGAATATCAACCAGATAAACATTAGGGGAGAATTTTAAATTTAATAATAATTTATTGGTAGAATATTTAACTTTTTAGTAGTTGGATAAGGAATCAAATTATACAAGTCATGTTGAGAATATTATTTAATTTTAACTGTATATATGTATATATTTTTATTTAAATTATATGTAATTGCATGATAGATAATTTTGAGTTAAAATTATATTTTTCAGCTACAAATTTTTGGACTCGGCTCGTTTATGTTGAGAATTAACGAGCCAAACAGAGTCGAGCGAGCTCACGGCTTATTTCGTATAACAATTATTAATTGTGTATACAAGTTTTATTAGTATTTCAATGAATCATTAATTTTGCATTAGTTTTATTGAAATATTTGGCAATCGATATAGATATAGATATAGTGTAACTATTTTATTGGGTGTGTGAGTTGTATTTCAAGGAAATGCTACGGTCTCGTTACGAAACCATTCTGTCGGAGTTTGTAACCGTTCGATCGTAATGTAACCGTCATATATAGTTGATCTAACGGTTACAAACCCGACAAAATGGTTCAATAACGAAACCGTAGCATTTCACTGTATTTCATGCGCCAAACGACCTAAGCTACCGAAATAAGTTGGTTGAAACTTGATGAACCTTTGCTTTTTTGTTTAATTTTTAATTTATTTATATTTGAAGAATCTTATATAAACTTTCTTGTTCATATTATTTTTTCCAACCACCTGTTGAATTTGGAGGATTTGTTTATCAATTGCTCTTATGTTAACACTTAAAAAAAGTTGAATATTTTAAGTTTTATAAACTTTTGATTAATTTATTCAAATGATGAGTGACAAGAAATATATTCCAATGCACATATATATCATTCACTGTACATAACCAAATACATGAGCTTTTTAAATTTCTAATAATTGACCAAAAAATGAGCTTTGTTGAGTTGTATGGATGAACTTAGCTATGATTGTCAATTTACAAAAAATATAAATAAAAAATAATAATTTGAAAAAATAAAAATAATTCATTTTATTGTTGTAGACTAGCACACAGCATTTCAGCCCGCATTATTCTAATACCACCATCCCTTGAAATTCCCTTGCTTTATGATTTAATTCTTGTTTTGATTAATACTCAACAGCCCAGATTTATATACTATCATATATATTATCCCTTATCCCCTATATATCAATCCAAAACGTGGTGGTAGACTCGCGTGTTTCGAAATCATATATGACAAAATTATATGTTTCGTTATTTTCAAAATTAATTAGGTAATTTAATTCAAATGGCAGTTTTATCCATTAAAAAGTGTAGAAAAACGCTCAGTAACTAATCAAACCGCACATAAAGTCCAAACACAAATTAGTTGACTTTTTTGCCATTTTATTGAGTCAACTATTGCGTAATTAATTGTTACAATTTTGAACACAATGTGCTCGATTTTTTTTTTTTTTATTACTTAATGGACGTACGTTTTTTTTTGTAATTGTGACTGTTACTATACGTAATTGTCATATCATTTATAGTTTTTGATGGAATTTTCGCATGAATTCAACAACCAATAGATGAAAATTAAACGGAAAAAAAAAAAAAATCAAATACCAAAAAGAAGACAATTAAATTTGTGTTTGAATTTATATATTTTTTTTTTCCAATGTTATGCTTTTTAATTGCTGATTTTTTTTAATTTTTTATTTTTGTTTATGTAGCTTTCAGGTTTCTATTCGTGATAGGAACTCATGAATAATAAAGCAAAAAAACTGCTGCTGATGCACTTAATTTAATAGCTCAAAAAATGTCGCCATGATTTGTGGATGTAATGGAGATAAAGTATTAATTATTTAAAAACAAATTAAAATTTTGATGATTGATTGTAACAAGGAACTGAACAATGTAGAAATTTCATTTGGTTCATAAATAGTTTGAATGTGACCCTTTCAAGGGTTTTGAGGAAGAGGGGTTAGCGCAGTGGCGCGTATCTTTGCTCGGCGTGTATCATATTTCGAATTCGAGTCAGGAAAAGTTAGGGAATCAATATTGATTCCTTTTTTAAAAAGAAGAAAAAGAGACCCTTTCAAGGGTTTTTGAGGATCACTATAAAAAAAAAAAA